TCTTACAGTACAATATCACTAAATAATATTTAAAATAAGCGATTGAAAATTGTACATAAGTGTTGCCAGTAAGTCGTACAAAATGACTGATTCGGAGTTTTTTTTAGGTGGATCTACAATAAAATAATTGTATTTTGTTCCTTTTGTTATTATTTTGTGTCGAGCAATAGTGTTCATTATAGTATCGTTTATTTTTCAAAAAAAGAATTATAATATTCCACCATACAATGGGTAACAATTAACGATCTTAGTTTATCGATGCCTTTATTAACAGTTAATAGCTTGCTAAGTAAGATTAGAATGTTAGTTTGGGATTGTTCTACTTATTCAATGATGTTCATTTCCAGTCGATATGTAATGAAAAAACGATAATTTTAACTTGAAGTATCGAGCCACACTGAACCCAAGCTAGTGCAGTGATCCAACTAATACAAAACGTCGATACTTTTTCTATCGCCATAGTTTCAAACCTATACTATGTAAAGACGGTCTGTACCGAAAACTTTGCAGGCATGATCAGATTATGAAATTGTACAACTTTTACTATGGATTTTGGGAAATCCTGATTTTGTTCGAGTTTCATTGAAAATTAATGTCAGTCTCAGCTGATCGGGAGACATCGGAAGCCAGCCAATGTGTCGTAGTGGCTAGTCCGACTGCCTGCGACGCAGAAGGTTCCGGGTTCTATTCCTTTCGCTCACAAAGTTGATATTTATCTATACAAATAAACAAAAAAAAATACAAATAGCTTTATTTGCAAAATATGTTAACAAACATGGTTGAGTCCCCCCGGTAAGTAATGAAACTTGTGTTGGGAATGACTCCTCTCTCCTTATGTCTAAAAGCTATAAGCTATAGTAGTTAATTAACGCTTTATCTCTTTATGAATATGTTCCTAGACTGGTCAGGACACCACACAGGCTGAACCATTACCCTTAAATAAATTTAAAGAAGTAATAAAACATAAATTGTGCAAGAAAGGCTATTATGAAATATCCGATTATATGCAAGATAAATCTTCATGGGCGTAGTTTTACATGTTTGTTTATATACAGTATTTTTTTTTAAGACGAAACAGTTAGAACTGTTCTACTGTAATTTTTTATTTTATTTTTACTTATTTTTAATTTTGTGTTGAGCCGTTTTCGGCTATTACTATTCTTGTTTCTTTTTTCAAACTTAGCTAGGGTAGCTTAGGGCCTACAAAAATTGTAATCTTTAGAATAGGAGCACTTCTGGGCAGGTTTTTGGGGGGTTTTCCTGTCCAGGAGGTCCGACTAACTATACACATGTAACACCTTTTTAAAATCTTGATCGAATTTAGTTTCGCTTACTGGTCGTTAAGGTATAAAGTTACATGCCGTGTGGTTAGCCTGGCCAGCCCCGAGGCAGTGCCTTTATTTTTATTTTTTTATCCCGCCCGAGCCGCGTTTATAGTAGGAATAAAAAATTGTTATAAAAAAGAGAAAATTGTGCTTTGCAAATTTATCTTTTTTACAATGTCTAATCCATTTCTGCGTAATGTAATGACTATCAATAAGTGATATTTTAATGTCCTATTTTGAATAAACATTTTCCCTTTCACTTCACTTCACTTTCACAACCACCTGATTGTCCGAGAAGCAAGATGGTTCCGTGCTTTGGAGCCACGTTTAGCCGTCGGTCCCGGTTGCGTCTTTCCGTTTCCGTGTTCAGTAGGAGGCATTTCCGGAAACGGAAAGACGCGTCCCGGTTGCTTCTTGCAGTAGGTGGTTGACAAACTCTGGTACGTTTACCAGGCCCCAATTAAATAAAGCCTGACAGGTGACAATTATGTCACTTTTCGACAAATAAGTCAGATTGTCGCGACAAGTGCCGTTAAATAAACACGACAAATATGTCCAAATGCGACAGGTAAAAACTGACATAATTGTCACCTATCGAACACGTTTAATAAAGGTGATTATTGTCACATTTTACCTGTCGCGTCGTAAGAAAATATCCTCGACTTATTTGTCATGGTCATTGACAATATTGTCGCGTTTTGTGACATATTTGTCAAGGCACAATACCAAAGAAGAGGGTAATACGTATAGTTCTTGTTTACTTTTTTCATTTGGTTAAGATTCCTACTTTCTTTAAATCAGTTAAAAATTTATGTAAAATAAACTATTTGGGCTTAATCTACGACCAACGTTTTGTTCGGCAAATTTAGTGATAAGTAAAAGTTCGTTGTCTTTTTATTTGCACCTCAAATTCATTTTCACTACTACTGAAATACTGCTATCCATCGACAAAGTTAACACAATTTCTATTTAAGTTTTATTTGTAGCTTTTTAAATTATGAATGATTAAAACTTAATATCTTAACCACCAACCATCTTTGACATTGGGTAAGGGTTCCTGTCGAAAATCTCCGACAATTCTACAAATATGTCGAATTGTCATTACAATTTAGTGTTTAATAAAACGAAATTGACAAGTTTTTCCGGACAAATTGTCACCTGTCGCCTGTCAAGAGAAATTGTTTATTTAACAGAAATTTGCCAAATTGTCACGACAATTCGACATATTGGTCGATTTTCCACTGTGACAAATTTGTCGATCCAATTCTTTATTAAACAAGAAATTGTCAAATTGTCGGATTGTCACCTGTCGCCTGTCACCTATCACCTATCACGTTTATTTAACTGGGGCCAGGGTTCATCAGGTCGTTGGACGACTTGGTGTGCTATAAATTGGTTACACTCAAGTGCGACATTTTAACTTTAATTATTATGTATATAAAAAGGATTTCGCACTTACCTACTTCTTATTACATCGCGATTTCACGACCGTTTCGGTCCAGTCGGTGATCCTTTATCAGGCAGAGTGCTCAGACAAAACACGAATATTTGATTGTGTCCGGTGGAAATCGAACCCACGAGCCTCGGCGTAGAAGACAGGCGTACTAACCACTACGTCATCGGGACAGTCGAAGTTATTATGTATGATTTGTTGAATAGGTGTTTTTTTTAGTAAATTCCCTTACATAATATCCTATGATACTTAATTATCAGTAAATAGTAGGTATTGCTTTGATTGTACCTACATAATTGTATTATCTGGTCTTTGGAGTAAGTAATTAATATTTTGGTTAATTTAGGGTACCTTATGCAATATTTAAAATGATGTTATTGCGCCAATATTTCTATTTACTAAAAATCCTATTCTTATAAACTAAGTTGCTTTTAAAAATTCAATAATATGACACAATTTTGAGTAGACTGTTATAATTAATCGAAAGGTCAAGTATCGATATTGTCGATTTCAACACTAGCTTGATTTGACAGCTTTACCTCTCCCCCCGCAAAAAATGACAGAAATATTTGTATAGAGTAAAGTAACTATACCGTCTCCCCCGGGGCCGGAACGGGACGGAAATGCTCGAAGGTTTTGGCAAACCAATTTAAAGTATGGTCAACGAAACGAGATAATTAATGTCAACAACTTTTGTATGACTCGGTGGCAGTTATTACAATCTGTCCTTATCTGTCATATAGTATAATGTCAGCAGCTGTCTCTTTCAGATTTGTTTACACTTTTTATCTCGTCTGGTTGGCCTTACTTTACAAAATAACAGTATAGAAAATGAAAGTGATAGAAATGCTTTTGCATTGAGATGCGGTCTAACCGTGTGGTTCACTCGGCAGCACAACTTGCCAGCATAAGTGCAGAAGAAGCTAAACATACAGGGTGTAAGGGAAAGCCCTCCGAATACTGAAAGGGTGCATTCAGACCATGAAACTGAACAACTTCCCATAAAAATAAATTTTAGGAAACGTAAAAAATTGTTTGACTTCCCATAGTAAATGCAATCAGTTGATCGTGATTTTGTATGACAAGTCGAAAATTTATTTTCTTGTCCTGAAATTTATTTCTATGGCAAGTTGTTCAATGTCGTGGTCTGAATGCACCCTATCAGTATTCGGAGACCTGTCCCTTACACCCCGTATTTCTATCATTTTCATTTTCATCAATTTCCGAAAAATAACGCCTGATCCTATTGGATATTTTCAAAAATGTTGTTTATTCTGACCAAATTCAAAGCTGATTAATAAAATACATATGCGATTTTATTAAACAACAAGTTATACGTAGTTACTCATAATGGAATAATATTATTTCTATAATAATCGTTAATATTGAAATCACAGTATAGGGAAGTATTTGAGCTCGTATTTAATTAATTACCTATATGCCTCGACGTACTACGGCCGAAATTACGCGACCGAAATTCGGCGGCTGAATTCCGTTCCGTCAGTTTTCGGTTGGGGATGACACACTATAAGCGCCGAAATTACGTACAAATCACGCCGAATTTCGTCGCGTAATTTCGGTGGTAGCTGTCGAGGCACTAAGAGTATGTATATAAGCAAGCTATAGAGTGCGCCTAAAAAGTTAGAACGTTTGGCATTAGTCAGAACACAACCTCTCTGTCCATCGGTAGCATAACGCCAATGACAGCACTATTGAACCCCTATAACTTACCATACATTTGACGTCTGTATCTATGGAGCAATTGCTTACGCTTTGACAATACGGCGCGGGGCGATACGCGCACTCTATAGCTTGCTTACATATACTTTAATATTATATTATTATGTTATACTACAGACGTGATTTCGATTCTAACGGCTCACCAATTTACACGATAACTTTGGTCATATCAACAAAATATATTTAGCCGTGTAAGGCACGATTCATAATTATTTATTTATTTGACCAAATACATTATTATTTCAAATTGATGAACCTACGCTAAGTATTTTTGCTAGGTCGATGTGCGTTTATTTTAATAACTCCACAGTATGAGCGGAATTCAAATCAAATGATGAAGATATTGTTCACATGGTTTGAATTTCTCTCATAATGTGGACTTAACTAGGTAATTAAGTTGTAAATACTTTCTACTGGATGTCGCTAGATCGCCGCTTGGAGACGAGCATCAAGAGATTGATATTAGGCATGCATCGATCGGCGCATCGATAGCTCAGTGGCCGAGCGGTGGGACGGTGACATATGCGGCCCGGGTTCGAGCCCGGTCGATGCATGTAATTTTTTCATTTTCTTATTTTCATTTAAGAGAATAATTCATTAGATCCCAATATATTGGACTTATTGTTATTAATTCAGAATAGGATACAAGACAACTTAAACATTTTTGGCCAATTCTGCTAACAGTGCAATTTCATTCGTTACCTACTTCATAGTAATATACAAACAGTACAATTTTAAGCACAAAGTTTTACAGAATGAATAACAGTTCAAAAAAATATTTATTACGATTAAAAGTCTGGAATGCGTGACTCTAAGTATGAAATTCATTGTTCTTATTAATCTATGACAAGTCTTTCTGATCTTGGCCTGTGCACCATCGTACGCTTAAACTTCATTTGATCGTACGCCAATGAGATTTAAGCCCTATGCAAACCTGAGCGGAATCAGAGCGGTACTAGGTATTCTGATGGATACAAAATGTCCGATCGACACATATAATTCATAATTAAGTATGATATTTATTTCATTGGAATGTCAGTTTGCAAGATAAATATCAACAACAACAGGCGTCCAAAAAATAATAAAATAAATATTATAAGACGCTATATTCACAGGTCAGACGTAAGACATGAGACGTGCGAAATAGCGACGCTCGAAACCATTTCCATATAAAATGTATGAAATAGAAGAGAGGCAGCCTACAAGTGAGACGCGCGTCGCATCGATGTTGACAAACACTTGTCTGACAGATGTCATCTTAAGTCTCGCATCGTACGTCTCATGTGTGAAGACTGCACCTAAAGGTGATTCCAACTAAACTAAGAAAATAATTAATCAATCTATCCCCAAGTAACCAAAAACTATTTACAAAAAAGACCCAAACAATCCCACTGGCCAATATTTTAAACGTAGTTTTTTCAAACTAGAAAAAATAACGATTGCGTGTAAATGGTGCAGATAAAGAACATATCCCGAATTAGCAACATTATTGTTTGCCTCTCGTATAATATGACATACTAGTTTTCCACCCGTAGTTTCACTCGCGCTTGCTGAAATTGGAATTTTAAATTTTGCGCCATTACTTACACATGCTGTAGTTGCTCGCAGCGCCTTTCGAAACGCAACTCAAATAATAGTTGTTCTGAATGGAGTTCAACTACTCGACAAAAGATGGCACTTAACACTACTTCACTTAATTTTCAATTTGAGGGATTGCAAAAGCCCTTATATCTTTATAAATACGCCCTTTAACTTAAAACGGGAACTTTCTTGTTCGATGGAGGAGATAAAGGGCTATTGCACTATATAAGTCCCTTTATCGTACCGGGAATCCTTTTTAAGTTTTATCGGCATGCACATTTTATCAACTTAGTTTTATCTACACTAATATAATAAAGAGGAAACATTTGTTTTTTTTGTATGTATGTAATCGATAAACTCCGAAACAACTGGACCGATTTCCAAAGTTCTTTCACCATTAGAAAGCTACAATATTCCTGAGTAACATAGGCTACTTTTTACTACCGGAAAAATCATCATTCCCATGGGAAAACGGTTAGCAGCAGGAAAAGCGGGAAATATAGCGGAATTACCCAAATTAGCCAAACCGCTTTACCGACCTTCGCGAAATTTGGCACTGATATTACTAGCATATCAAAGACGGACATGGACTACTTTTAGCCCTCGAAGATCTGGACTGATGAAGACCACCAGCGTCCCATCTAAACTATAAGAGATACGGTCATGGCTTCATACAAAAAGTTGTTCACCATGACGGGCCGCTTCTGCTGGCACATGGTCATCGAGGATCTGGAGTACCTGATGAAGACCACCAGCATCCCGTCTAAACTATAAGAGATACGGTCATGGCTTCATACAATAAGTTGTTTACCATGACGGGCCGCTTCTGCTGGCACATGGTCATCAAGGATCTGGAGTACCTGATGAAGATCACCAGCATTCCATCTAAACTATAGGAGATACGGACATGGCTTCATAGAAAAAGTTGTTCACCATGACGGGCCGCTTCTGCTGGCACATATTCATGATGAGTCACTTCTGCTAGAACGGAGTAATGAACTTTTTACTACGTGCAAAGATCCAATTTCCATGGGAAAACAGGTAAGTAGCAGCGGGTGAAACCGCTGGGCGGGCCGCTAGTTATATATAATGATAATGATATTGATGTAGCATATAAGCAGGATGTCAACAATAATATTACTAATTCGGGACTTATTCTTTATCTGCGCCAGTTATACCTATTTTACTAAGAGCAAGCACACACGGGCAACTTTTTGTCGCGCAACACTTGGGACCTCTCAAGTCGCCAGTGCGCGCCTACTCTTACAGTCTCTATATTTGAGATTTACAAAATAAATGATTTCATATACATCGTCTAATTCCACTTTTCTACAACTACGGTATAAACCCCGAACCATACCATCTAATGTTTGACTTGACTACCTCACACCATAACTGAAAAAGAAATAGATATACATTATTATTCTTTCCTCTAAGCATTTTCTCTGGACATAGAGAAAATATTACTTGAAGAGGAGTGTCAATCTAAAACTAAAAAACGTAATTAATTCCATTTCCATGCAATTGTTTTACATATGTATAACGTTGCTCTTGAATCATTCTATAAATAACAAAAAACTGCACCCAAATAAGTTCCGCGGTTTAGGAGGAGAAGACCACGATAGACAGACAGACAGACAGAGAAATGCAAAATTTTATTCTATGTATTGATTTAAACAGGCAGGCAGTTAAAACAACCGATAACGCCTTAATCTTGGTGCGACAGATAAATTCCACGCAATCGTAGAGTACTATCTTTATATTTATTTATTAGTCTTTATAGTTAGCCGTCGTCCAGGTTGCTGTCCATGTCCTGCTACTTGCAGGCGGTTGTAAAACACTGACACCAGGGTTTATCAAGTCGTTAGACGACTTGGTGTCCTGGTGTCCCACTCGAAGAAGCAGAAGAAGAAGAAGTAGTATCTTACCAGTCAATGACGACAGCTACGTTGTGGTTTTCCTCGGCGATGATTTCGGGGATTTGTCAGCTTTATCTGATTGATCCTGCAAAGAAAAAACAGTACCATTATAAAATTACTTATTTATAACAAGCGACCCGTTAGCGGTTTCACTCGCTGTAACCTGTAACTCATTTTCCCGCGGGAAATAGGCATTTTCCATCTCACCGTCTGTGATAAATAAATGACGTCGTCGTCCACAATAAATGTTCCCAATAAAGTCGCATTTTAAACACTGTTTCGGAACAAAGTTCCCTAAGAAAAAGCTTCTTCATTGGGAACTTTGTTTCTGACACAAAGTTTCTGGGATTTTGTCCCCAATGAATACCTGGCTTGAAAGAGATTGGCTGTTATTGATTGTTGCCTATGTCCAGCAGTGGACTGCTATAGTATAATCTGATATGTATGGTATGTATGTATGTAATGTTACCTCATCGGGAGCTCCCAAGACGTGACCGTTACTGATTTCTTCTCTGAGCGTGTCATCATCATCGTCTGTGTGTACGTCATAGAATTCTCCGCTGACAACCTGTCACTATGGTGATACACAGCCTTCCAAATGACTCTCAATCTTTTGACAGATGTGGTGTAAATGGTCGTTTTACAGTCGTTGACGATCTGCCTACCGCGCAAGGGATATAGGCGTGATATATGGGGTGAAATTTTACTAGTGACCGTTAGCGAAAACTCAAAACCGGACCTCAAAAAGTGGACCTCCCAAACAAAATTGCCGTTCAGCTGATTTGAGTTACTATGGGTGGGAGGTCAAAATATTTTTTCGTATTTCGACCTATGTTCCTTGGGGAAAGTTGTTCCTTATCACCAGCCGGTTCTGAGATTTCGCTATCGGTCACTAGTTAAATTTCACCCTGTATGTATGTAAGTATGTAATGTTACCTCATCGGGAGCTCCCAAGACGTGGCCGTTACTGATTTCTTCTCTGAGCGTGTCATCATCATCGTCTGTGTGTACGTCGTAGAATTCTTCGCTGACAACCTGTCACTATGGTGATACACTGTCTTCTGAACTTAAGACTTTGTCAGAAGCAAGCTGAAGTGGCAGTGGGCTGGTCACATTTGTCGTAGAACCGATGGACGGTGGAGTAAGCGAGTTCTCGAGTGAATGCCACGGCTGGGTTAACGTAGCGTTGGACGCCCTCCGGCCAGATGGACCGATGACTTAAGACGGGTATCCATTGGGAACATTTTTAGGACATAGTTTTGAAACATTGCATAGAAACAAAAGTTCCCCAATAAAGTCGCATTTTAAACAATGTTTCGGAACAAAGTTGCCAACGAAAAAGCGTCTTCATTGGGAACTTTGTTTCAGATACTTTGTTTCTGATACAAAGTTTCTGGGATTTTGTCCCCAATGAATACCTGGCTTGAAAGAGAGCGGTTGGTAGCGACTGTAGATCATGCCTTGTGGCGTGTCCACGCCTATGTCCAGCAGTGGACTGCTATAGTATGATGTGATGTGTATGTATGTAATGTTACCTCATCGGGTGCTCCCAACACGTGGCCGTTACTGATTTCTTCTCTGAGCGTGTCATCATCATCGTCTGTGTGTACGTCGTAGAATTCTTCGCTGTCCATCTCACCGTCAGTGCCTTGAAAGAGATAATCAAAAGAATAGTTAAAAAATAGCTCTGTAAACCAGAATCTCTCTCTCTCTATTCGTATGGGACACCGAGTCGTTCAACGACCCGATGAACCCTGGTGTCAGAGTTTTTCAACCGCCTACTGCAAGTAGCAGGCCTCTGACATAACCAGATTAAAATGCATTATCTAGATTCTAGAATACGTAGATGGCACTACGAATACAACCTCTCTGTACATCAGTAGCATAACACTCATCATCATCATCCTGCCCTTATCCCAATTACAGGGGCCGAAACAAGTTCCATGGTCGAAAATACTGATTTTACTGACCAAAATATTCAAAAATACTGACCGAATACTGACCATTTTCAAACAGTTTTTCGGGTGAATTGTGTGAAATTAGTAGTACTTTG